TGAAGAGGCAGACCAGGTGGTAGGCACTGTGCCCAAGAGCAGAGCAAGAGCCTTGGTAGCCCCCACTGCCCCATCCTCCCCAGCAGGATGCTCTGAGCCCTGTCCTGGTCAGCCCCTTGGAGCCTGTACATCAGGAGCTCAACTTCAGTGGAAGGGAGGGCACCCCTGGCCTCATTCCTCCTTTGGTACAGACCCCCAAGGCAGTCATGCCTCTCCCTCCTCTTCCAGGAGGTCCTGTAAAGAGGTGAGACACCCTAAAGCCCTGGGCTGGGGGCTGCATTCTTGGGTTTTAATCCTGGGCAAGACCCTGGTCTTTGTGCGGTGGTGAAGTGGGGGAGAGGACATCTCAGGACCCTGGGCCTCAGCAGCTCCCTGAAGGTTCTAGGGTGGGTCCAGTGTGGGGACAAGCTGACCCTCTTCCATTCCCTTCCATTAGTAGCTTTATCTGGCCCCATTGTTTTTAATGCAAATGGAAAAGGAGACTAGGCAAGGCCATGGGGCAGGAACTTGTCTGCCCAGCTGCCCCCTCCCAAGATAGTAGGAGCTTCGGGAGGGGTTGATGGGGTTGTGGCCTCCATGGTTCCTGCGTCACTGTGTAAGTGCATCTATCCACCATATTTGGGCAGCGCAGGCGATTGCCCAGTCCAGCACCCACCTCCTCCCTCCACATTGTTGTTGTTGTTATGTGCCTTCGAGTCCCTTGCAACTCATAGTGACCCTATGTACAACAGCCCTAAACCCTGCTCTATCTTGTGCCAATCGCACTGCCTCTTACACACCCATCCCGATTACCCCAGTCACTGAATCAATCCACCTCATACAGGGTCTTCCCCTTCTGCGCTGTCCCTCCACCTTCCCAAGCATGATGTCCCTCTTCAAGGACCTCTTCCTCCTTACAACATGGACAAAGGATGTAAGACGAAGCCTCAGAATCCTTGCCTCCCAGGAGCAGCCTGGGTGTAACCCTCTCTAGGGTGAATCTGTTTTCTTGGCAGCCCAGGGTACATTCAATACTCTTCTTCAGCACCACAACTCAAAGGCATCAATTCTCCTTCTATCCTCCTTATTATTATCCAACTCTCTGATGGATAGCAAGTGATTTCAAAGACTATAGCCTGTATCAGACACACTTTAGTCTCCAGAGTGACACCATTGCTCTTCAGTACCCCAGAGAGGTCCCTAACAGCAGACTTTTCCATCGCAATATGCTTTTTATTTCCTGGCTACTGGTGCCAAGAGTGTTGACCGTGGAGCCTAGCAGACTAAAGTTGTTAACAATCTCAATCTCTTCACCATCCATCCTGATGCTGCCAATTGGTCCAGTGGTGAGAATCTTTGTTTTCTTGACATTGAGCTTCAATCCATACTGAAGGCTGCAGTCCCTGACCCTCTGTAGCAGGTGTTTTAGGTCCTCCTCAGTTTCAGTAAGCAGGGTTGTGTCATCTGCATAACGCAGATTGTTGATAGATCTTCCACCAATCCTGATGCCACTCTTCTCCTCATAGAGCCCAGCCTCTCTGATAATGTGTTCTGCATACAGGTTGAAAAGGTATGGAGATAGGACACATCCCTGATGTACACCCTTCCCAATTTTGAACCATGCAGTGTTTCCTTGCTCTGTTCTGATGACTGCCTCTTGGTCCAAGTATAGGTTTCACATTAGCACGATCAAGTGTTCTGGGATTCTCATTCTTCTCAGAGTCAGCCACAGTTTTTTATGATCCACACAGTCAAACACCTTTGCATAATCAATGAAACATGGATGGACATTCTTCTGGTATTCCCTGCTTTCAGCCAAGATCCATCTAACATTAGCTACAATATCCCTAGTACAATGACCCCTTCTAAACCCAGCCTGGACTTCTGGCAGTTCTCTGCTGATGTGCTGTTCCAGTCGTTTTTGGATAATCTTCAGTAGAATCTTGCTTGCGTGTGAAATCAATGATATTGTTCTATAGTTTCCACACTCTGTTGGGTCACCCTTCTTTGGAATGGGAACAAATATAGATCTCTTCCATTTAATCATGTGGTATCAGGCAACACGGGCCCACTGCTTTCACCCCATTTCTCCTATTTATTGAGACTTTGCTTTTGTCCTGTCCTCACATCCCATCCATTTGAGTAATAAAGAGAGGAGGGGGGAAGAGGAAGTTATGAAACAAGGAGAAAATATTCCTCTGGATATTGGCTAGGGATAGGCTTTAAAATAATTAAACTAACAATGTAAATAATTAAATGAAATTAATAATAATACTTTAGTAATAAAAAATAAACAAATACTAAATTTCATTTCATCATAAATAAATTTGGAAGCAGAAGTGGTTTCCACTTCCTAAACAGGATGCCTCTGTAAACTCTATGAACTTTGATGAATGACGATAGTTGTAGAGGGGCTTCAGGTCTTTTGTTCATAGGGTCGCTATGAGTCATGCTTGACTTGAGGACAATCAACAACCACCACCACCACCCTCTCACCACTTTTATTTTACCTTTGTTCTATGAAATCTGGAGGAAGAATGTTAAAATTCATTATCTACCCCAACAATTTAGACTCAAGCCTGACCATGTCTTGATAAGGTCTGACCATAAGGGGCCTAGATGACCAGATCCTGATAAAGCCCTGGGCTGTTCATATCCTGACAGGAGCTCGGCTCCCAACTTCCTGTACAAACTACCATCCATCCCATCTCAATCTCATTAACAGCCCCTAAAAAAAGAAAGCTTTTGTCTGCCTGTAGGTCATTCTGAACTTTTTTCTTTTTCCTAAAATTCTTCAAGTCTTTTTTAGAAAATATGAAATAAAGAAAGTGAAAAACAAACATACATTGAAGGTAAATAGAATTAGCATTGACACACCATGGATCGCCAAGAAAACAAGCAGGCCTGTTTTGGCGAGAGTGAAACCAAGATTCTCCTTGGAGGCAAGGATTTGGAAGCTCCATCTCACATTCTTTGGGCATGTGTCCAGGAGGGGCTAGTCCTTGGAGAAGGATTATGCTCTTTGGAAGTGTAGATGGATGATACAGGAGAGGAAGACCCTGGATGAGATGGATGATGGGATTAGGTATGTCAGAGTCAAGATTGGACAGGCTTCAGAGCTGTTGTACACAGAGTTGCTATGAGTCACAGGTGACTCGAGGTCACATAACAACAACAAGCAAGGTACTCCTGAGAGCTGGGTAATGAATAAATATGGCAGAAGGAGTCGTGATTTCAACTGTAGTGTTGGAGAAAAGTACTGAATAGCCCATGGATTTCAAAAAGAAAAAACACAACCAGATATGTCTTGGAGAAAGTTCTGCCAGAGTGCTCCTTTGAGGCAAAGTTGATAAAGCTTCATCTCATATAATACTTTGGGGATGAGGCCAAAAAAGACTATTCCTTGTAGAATGACGTCATGAAAGAAGGGTGGAGAATCAGCAATAAAGAGGATGATCCTTAACCATGAAGATTAACACAGTGGCTACAGCCATTAATAGGCTCTAGTATATCAGAGATTGTGAGGATGGCAAATGACAGGACAGTGTCACATCTGTTATTCACAGGGACTGTGTAAGTCATACTCAACTAAACCCCACTAACATTGAGTAGGAACTGACTCAAGGCTGACCCTCCTGCAGGTTTTTAAAGGCTGTAATTCACAAAGGACAAAATTGTCAGTCTTTCTCCTGCTGAGGCACAGATGAATTAGAATGATCATAAAAGGGCCAGTTTTGGGTTATCAGAATAACTCCCTAAGAAACACAGCCCCAGAGCTGAATGAGTTTATATCCACTTCATTTATATAGATGAAAGGAATGAATGACTTTCAAATATCATATATTTGTGAAAGCTATTTAGCTGACTTTGAGTCCTGATTGTAAAGCCCCAACCCTTTGATTTTCAAACTGACATCCCTTCTCCTCCATACTGTATAGCAAATCTTTGGCCACAGGTTGATATGCCTGGATCAGCGATCAATTCTGGCATAAGATTTTGGTTTTGGTTTTGTTTATGTCATTCAGTCAACTGAAACTCATGACTACCGTATAAGTAACAGATCTGAACCTTACCTTTTCTTGAGCCATCTTCACATTTATCTGACCTTTACCAGCATGGTGTCTTTTTTCTGAGGACTGGCCCCTCTGGACAAAATCCTCAAAGTGTATGGAACAAAGTTTCTTTATTCTTTCCTCTAAGGAGTACACACCTGGTTACACTTCCTCCAAGATAGACTAGTTTGATAATACTTCTGTCATTCTTATTCATTGCGCATTTTTCAGATGTGTAAAAGTAATGAAGGAGAAGTCTTCAAATTCCTGAAGACCACGTTCTAGCCAGTCAACCTCAAGTGGTGTGGAGATAGTGTGCGCTGCTCAGGGGAATATTCCTACACACTCTTATTCTGTCTTCAAAGTATGTATCTCAGATACAATAAAGTTGTATCTGACTGCAGAAACTCTCCAGAGTCCACGAGAATTTGAAATTATTTCCTGTATTTTCACTTTTTGGATCAGGATTTTTTTTTTTTTAATCTTACATCAAAATGTTCAGTATTAATAGCTGGGCCCCAGGGAGTTCTGATCTGATGGCAAAAGAGACAGTTGTACCTCAGGGACACATTCTACTTCTAACTGTCCTTTTTTGGTCTATACTGGAAGGTCTGATGTTTCAACGTTTACCAGACTTGTCAACTTCCTCTAAATAAACACACAAATATAAATTATTTTACCCTCTTTATAAATATGAAAATCACTTCTTAGAGATTCTCTTGTACAAATTGAGAAGGTCAAAGGAAATTATTGATGAATTTTGTGTCATTTTCACATTGAATTTTGGTCAATATTCTTGATGTCACTAAGATACAAAATAGCAGCAGCAAACAGATGTACTCAAACATGAGTCACCAAATACACATCATTATCTAAGTATTGTCATTCTATATAAGTCCTGTCACTAGAAAGTAGAGAGAAAAAGGCAATAGATAGAGAAGGTGGCTTCTTTTAATGCAGACAATGGCAATGAAGAATCTTATGATCTGTGTGCTATTATGTCTACCTGCTTGCTTGGCTTACCCACTGGACAAGACAGTGAAGGAAGAACCAAATATCGACATTCTCAAGGTAATTAATGATAGAAACTACGACAACTATGTCCAGCCCAAGTGGAGAAGTAAATGTGCTTTCCAAGACAAAGTAAGAGTATTTTGAGTTTAGAATCTATTATGTTGGGATAATTTAAGATCAAGTAATATTAAAGTACTAGAAGTAGCAAGATTTTTCCCATCTTAACAGACAAGGATAAAGAAAACCAGGAAGAAGATGTAATTTCTCAAGGTGATTATAAAATCACCTACCAACAATCACACCACCACGAAGATACAATAATGAAAACAGAAGTCAATGAAATATCAGGTTAAGTGTATTATTTACTTTTACTTCAACTAGGGAGTAATTAAAGCTTAATATGAAATTGGAGCAACTCTAGACAGTTATAAAAATCACTTGAAAATTGTTTTTTTTATTCTATTAGAAATATCTTGGAAATGATTATAATCTTGGAAACGATATGAAACAATTTGTGAGAAGAAATGAAAGCAGTGCTGTAGTTAAAAAAAATCAGGAATTGCACAGGTCCCCTGGGTTGAAGGTAATGGAGAAGCCGGACTCTGGCATCCTAGATGTGAAGGATAAGCCCATTTGTGGATTCCCCGTGGTTGGTCACATCTCTAGATTATGTCGCTCACGCAAGTGGAGGAAAACTAACCTTACTTACAGGTAAGGGCTCCACAGATGTCCTTACAAATGGTAAAATATTAACTTTACTGTCACAGAAGAATATGTGTGCTCTTTTTCTTTTACAGAATTGTGAATTACATACCAAAGTTGTCAAGAAATGCTACTGACTTTGCCATTGAGAGAGCTCTGAAACTCTGGGAGAAGGTGACTCCTCTCACGTTCTACAGGCTTTATGATGGAGAGGCTGACATGATGATTTCTTTTATGAGTAGAGGTAAAAAAATTAATAATTAAAATTACTTTAAAACTATATAAACACATTGAGCAGATATTCTTTTATTAGAAAACACTAAAAAGAAATTCCAATTTCTCTTTTTTCCAATTTTTTTTTCCTGTTAGACCATAAAGACTATGAATCGTTTAATGTATCAGCATCTACTCTGGCTCATGCCTTCCCACCCGGACCAGGGTTAAATGGAGACATTCATTTCTATGATGACATACAATGGACAGAGGATTATTCAGGTGAGTCCTAAATCTCTCGGGGTGATTTCACAAATGATCCTCAGCTCTGACCAGAAAGAATTTAAATGACCAAAATGAGTAGTAAAAAAACATGTGTTATGTAACTGTATGATACTTGTTATTATTTGAGTAGAAATCTGAAGCATTCTTTGTTCCAATACCTAAAGAAGAATTTTATAAAATGTCTATGGTTATTCTGTTTCCTGCATATTATTTCTGGCATAATATGCACCATTCATATTTATTCCAATAATGGAGTTCTGATGGTCTAATATTCCAGCTGTTGCATTGACAGTCAAAGGTCCTCCATTTGAGTCCACCAGCTGCTCAGTGGGAGAAAAATAGATCAACTACAAGTCACTCTGAGTATACAAACACTTATTACCATCAAGTTAAAATCCATTCATAGCTGACCCTCCTGCATGTGTTATATCTACATATCTATAGCTGTATATATAATGAATTTTGTATGCAAAGTCCATAAATTAAAACTAATTGTATATTATCATATATATGCATACATAAAAATAACTTTTTCAAGTTATTTCTAAAGTTTATTAACATTTTGTTGAGACAGGAGTTACTTCTGAGATTGGATGAAATATTTACCATTGTTATAAAGATTTCACACATAATGCTTTTATTGAATGGAATGAGTTATCTGAACAACTCTTTTTAGCACAGTTGCTTGGAGTCTTGTTTAAATAAATTCTACTACTAATTTCAATAAGACCTTCTTTATAATATAAAAATAAGTTGAATTCAGCTATCTTTATTTTTCTGAAAACAGATATGAGTCACATACCTATTTTATGTGTACATCCAATTGTACCTTCTACAGAGAGATTTTTGGCTACCAAAAATATTTCATTATGAGGAAGAGTAGATAGAACCACTCAGGTTATATGTTTATTCGAAACAACAGCTTTGTAACTAATATATAATAGCCTGTGAGTCACTGTATAACTGTTGGTCTCTATGCATCTGAAGCACAAGAGTAAAGAAAGTCAAAGACTCAAAGCAGAATCCAGTCTACAAAACAAATAGTTGACATAAGCCATGGCCTTATATACTCTAAGAGCAAAAGAGCTAGATGATGCCCACTACCACTGCTGACCACTGTACATAGAACAAAATAGAAGGAGCCTGAGATAATGAGAGGAGAGTGTAAATGGAACCTTAAATCCCTAAAAACAAAGAAAACCCTAAATAACAAACAGAGAAATAGACTTACTGGCTTGTTGAGGGCAGGACTGCAAGAGTTCCTGAAACCATTGCCTTGAGAAATTCTTCAGACTTTGAACTAAAATCAACTCCTATGGTCACCTTATAGATAACAGGCTATAATTGAGGTTTAGCATTGAATTAGAACTAAGGTATCGCTGATGCTCCAGGAGGTTTTCAGAGGCAGAAAATCACAAGAGAAGAGATTGCCCATCCTTCTGCAGAGCAGCTGGTGGATTCCAACCATGTGTCTGAGATTACAGCAAAGCTCCTCACCGGAACTGAACTACAAAATAATATATATCAACTACGAGTACAATTGTCCTAAAAAAATTACCTACATGACTAAAGGAGGCTCTGGTGGCCTAGTGGTAAGGAGCTGTGCTTCAATCCCAAAGGCATGTGATTTGAAACCACCAGTTTCTTCAAGGGAGAAGGATGTGCAAACTCTTCCTGTGCCCCTGAAAACCTGCTGAAGGGTCAGCTATGGGTCAGTTCTGACACAAGAGTACACAATAGTAACAACGTATGGATAAAATGATCAACAAATAATTTAAAACTAATATCAGGCTGTAATGATACAGGAAAGCTAGATTAATGGAAATTAAACCATCATAATAGAAATAATGAGAATATTTGTGAATTGTTCATATTATAACCATTGTACTACACAATTTGGGTATAATTTGCTGAATAGAACCTGGAATGCTGTGAAAATATTTATGATAAGCAGGGGGAAATGTGTTTTTAAAATGGTTTGAGGAATAACACTAATATTATAGGATTAATGTCAGTTGAATTTGTCATGAATTGTTGTGATGGTTAGTTGCTGTCGGATCGAGTATAACTGATAGAGATCCTGTAAACAACAGATGTGAGTCTAGTCCTATTCTGTCCCTTACCCTGTCTGACATACTAGAGTCAATTGCAGCAAACACTGTGTCAATCCACTTGGTCGAGGGTCTTTCTCTCCCTCGCCAACTCTCTGCCTTTACAAACATCATGTCACTATTCCAGGAATCTTCCCTCCTAGAAATAGGCCTGAAGTATGTGGGGTGAAACTTTACAATCTTTGCCTCCAAAGAACACTGTCTGCATCCTCTCCAAGACATATCTGTTTATTTCAGCAGTCAATCGGATGTTCAGGAATCTTCTTCAACTCTACAGCTTATTTTTTTCTTCAGTCATCTTTATTCATTGTCTAGATCTCAGATGCATAGCAAGTGGTCAAATAGAACATGACCTGAATCAGATGTACCTTAATCCTCAAACTGACATCATTACTTGTCAACAATTTGGAGAGGCCCCTAACTACAGACTTTTACAGTTCAATGCATCTCCTGATTTCCTGACTGCTGGTACCAAGGGTGTTGACTGTAGATTCAAATTAGATGATGTTGTTGACAGTTTCAATCTTTTCTCCATCTATAATGATGTTACCTATCAATCCAGTATAATTTTTTTTTCTTTACATTGAAAGGAGACAGAATACATCTCTGACGACCGCCCTTCTTGATTTTGAACCGTGTAGTGTCTCCTTGCTCTGTTCTGATGACTGCCTCTTTGTCCAAGTATAGGTTTTGGGTTGGCACAATCAAATGTTATGGGATTCCCATTCTTCTCAGAGTCAGCCACAGCTTATTGTGATCCACACAGTCAAAAGCCTTTGCATAGTCAATGAAGCACAGATAAACATTCTTCTGGTATTCTTTGCTTGATGACAAGATCCATCTGACATTAGTTATAATATCCCTAGTACCACAACCTCTTATAAATCCAGCCTGCACACCTGGCAGTTCTCTATTGACATATTGTTCCAAAGGTTTTTGGGTAATTTTCAGCAGAATCTTGCTTGCATGTGATATTAATGATATTGTTCGATAATTTCCACCCTCTGTTGGGTCACCTTTCTTTGGAATGGGAATAAATATTGATCTTTTGTATACTGTATTCTGTCTCCATACCTTTTCAATCTGTTTGCAGAACAGATTATCCGAGAGCCTGGGCTATATGAAGAGGAATGTTGCATCAGGATTGGTGGAAGAATCATCAACAACTGCGTTATGCAGATGACACAACCCTGCTTCCTGAAACTGAGGAGGACCTGAAGTGCTTGCTGCAGAAGATCAAGGACTGCAGCCTCCTATATGGACTGAAGCTCAATATCAAGAAAACAAAGATTCTCTCCATTGGGCCAATTGGCAGCATCAGTATGGATGGATGGATTACATTGAAATGAAATGCATTGTGAAGTCTTTATTCTTTGATCTTCTGCTTCAAGTCCTCCTCACTTTCAGCAAAGCAAGGCTTGTGTCATCTGAATAATGCAGGTTATTAATGAGTCTCTCTCTGATCCTGATGCTACAATATTTTTCAGAGTACAGCTTCGAGAATAATTTGCACAGCATAGATTTATGATGTATGAAAAGAGAAAACAACCGTTCCTAATTTTATACTGTTTAGTGTCCCTTGCTCCACATACACAATAGCCTTTTGATCTAGGTATAGGTTATGCATGACCCCAATTAGGAGTTATGGGATTGCCATCCTTTCAATGTGAGCCACAACTTGCTATGATCCACATAGTCAAAAGCCTTTGTGTAATCAATGAGTCAGGAGTAGATGTTCTGGTTACTTTCAGCTAGGATCAATCTGACATCAGCAATGATGTCTCTGATGGCATGGTCTCTTCTTAATCCTACTTGAACTTCTGAAAATTCCATATCTATATCTTTTATAGCCCTCTTAGAATTGCCTTCAGCAAAATTTTGTTTGCATGTGAAATTGGTGATATTGTTCCATAATTTCCACATCCATTTAGATCACCTTTCCTGGGAATGGGAACAAATATATTGTTATTTTTTGTCATAGCCTTCAATGCTGCTTCTACTTCCTCCTTCATTACTATTAGCTCCTACTCACATGGTATATCTTGTAATATTTATTGTCCATCAGTTCTTTTTGGTCCAGTGATTCCATGTATTCTTTTGATACTTCCCAATTCTAGTTGTCACAGGATAGAGAAAAGTTCAGAACTGTTATACATAGGGTCACTATGAGTCACAAGTGACAGGACAGCATATAACAACAACAACAACAACAAGTTATTCAACACATTTCTCGTAGCATCTTTCAATATTGTGATTGAGGTGTAATTCGTTTTTCTGTTCTCTCACCTTGAGAAATGCAGAGTGAGTTCTTCCCTTTTAATTCTCCAATTCTAGCTCTCTGTACATTTCATTGTAATCCTTATAATTGTTAACAATATGTTTGAAGCATTAAACAGCAATGATTGAAGACCAGATGAGTTGTGGGATGATTGTCAAGAATATCATTCATTAAGAGAGAAAAAGGTCATTACAAAGACAGACGAGAAAGAAGAAACCAAAATGGATGTCAGAAGAGACTCTAAATTTCACTAACATGTTGAAAAGCCAAAACAAAGGGAAAGTAAGCTCAATATAAGAGATGAACAGATGATTTCAAAGGGTAGCTTGAGCAGACAAAGCAAAGTATTATAATGAAATGTGCAGAGAGCTGGAATTGGAATTGTCATGAGTATATATTAAAAACTTGAAAGATGCCTAACTTATTAGAGACCGAAGGGGCTATCTTTATTGACATTCTATTAGTCTTAGACTCTCCAAAGTTATCTTTTAGAAACTATGTTTATCACAGTCAATGCAGGAAAAGTGACCTGACTTTCAAAATAGAAGAGAGGACTAGGGAAGGATCTGTCTTAGACATTGTCTTCAAGTCAACCTTGAAAACATATTTCAATGAAGTATGTATGCCAATCAGTGAATGACTCCACAATTAAGAAGTCACTGTGTTATTCCAGGGGTGGCTTGCTAGACAGGTATGCATTATGTACATGCATTGATGAGCATTGATGAACTATTTAAGTAGCTGATTGTTTATGATTTTTTACATAGGGGCCAATTTTCTCTTTGCGGCTGCTCATGAAATTGGTCATGCCCTGGGTCTCTCTCATTCAAACAACCCTGAAGCTTTGATGTACAAATCATACAAGAAATCCAGAGGCAAATCCCAGTTGCGTCTTTCTCAAGATGATGTGAATAGAATTCACTTTCTCTATGGTGAGTTATATTAGAAAAATAAGACATGTAATGTCCAAAAAAAAAACATTACAAGGGCGATCTTCAGCATTGTAATTGTGGGGACTTAAAACACTACCTGAAGTTTCATCTTGAAAAGCATAGCAATTAACATAGCATGTCATTTACTTTAAGATTTATTTCCCTACATCTGTTCTCTTTAGGACCTCCATCTTCCTCCTCTAATAAAACCACGGTGCCCACAGAAGACATTCCCACACAATCTCAGCCACCAGCCAAGTGTGACCCTGACTTGTCATTTGATGCAGTGACTACTCTGAGAGGGGAAATTATCTTCTTTAAAGACAGGTGAGATTGGAACATTGGGATCCTCCCCACTCCACCTTATCCGTTGTGTGCAGAGATGTACTGTGAACCCAAAGTCCATAAACTACCAGTAGCTCCCAGGGAGAAAGATGGGAAGTTTCTCCTATTGACACCTTGGAAACTCAGTTGGACAGTTAACTCTGTGTTGGTTCTGACTCGACAGCAATGAATTGACTTGT